TGGTGAAAAGGGTGGAGGTGATGAAGTGTGGTAATGCGCTGAAGTGTGTTCGGATGGGTCTGAACTGACCGTCGACGCATTTGAATAGGATTGCTTTACTGTCGATGCGTTCTTAATGGTTATATTGGCAGTTGGTGAGCTCGAGTGAGCCTCAGTGACTGTTTGTGGGATCGGATCGGTCATATTTGCTGCTGCTGCTGTGCTCCGGTCGATCTGATAGGCCGTCACGGTACCCCGTTTGGCCAGATTGACTGTTAGGGCAAGTGGGTCCGTCTGATCGACTATTGGTGCGCTCAGGCGTGTTTGGTTCACTGTTGCTTCGCTCAGGTCCGTCTGGTTTTCTGTTCTTAAGCTCGAATATATCTTATCAATTGCTGGTGCGCTCGGCTTCGTCTGGGTGATTTTTGGAGCAATCGCATCCGTATGATTAACTGCTGGTGGATCTACCTTCATTGAACATAGTGGAGGTAATGAGGTGTGCTGATATGCTGAATTGCGCTCTGAACAGTCTGAAGTGACCGTTGACGCGCTTGGATGGGTCCGGTTGACTGTTGGTGCGCACGTAGCGGTTATATGAACTGCTGGTGCGCTCAGATCGATCTGATTGGAGGTTGGTGCGCTCTGGTCGTGCTGTGTGGTTGTTGGGGACTGTGCCGCTGGTGGTATCGAAGGACTGGGCTGGTGGTATTGTTGTAGATCGGATGACGAGTCAATTTCAGCCTCGGGCGTAATCTCTGAAAGGCGGGATGATAGAGTTTGAGCTCATGTTGAATTGTTGCTTGCGACAGGGCGACAACAAGAGTTCTGTGATGTTGAGCGGACATATTTTAATTGATTAAGTGGTCTTAATTAGCTGATGAATAGCTCAAGGCTCCTACGATTCCGAACTCTTTTTGCTAAAAGTTCGACTTTTTCAACAGCATATACCGGAAGGTCGTATAAAATTTCAACGATTGATCAAGAAAATGAAGAAACGCTGAATTGAGCAAACGATCGTTTGAACTGAATCGCTGAGTGTTCTTGGAATTCTTCACAGCTTACCATGATTGCGAATTGGTTCAGCATTCAATGTGCGCATAATCGCTTGAAATAAATCGCTGGCGATTTCGGTAGTTCTTTTGAACTTGCCTTGATTATGAAGCGATTCGGCATTCGTGGGTAATGTGCAAATTCGCTTCCTTCGTGAACGACTAGCGACCTGACGATAGCGCCTAAATAAATGATAACATGTTTGAAAACAATGAGGGTTGAATTCAACAATTCCATTCGAAAATTCAATTTTGTAATGGTTTGCACTTCAAAGAAAAATTTCTGCGAGGTTCAAATCTGACTGAAAAACTGATGCTGCTGGTCTAGGAGGGTGTTTATTTTACTGCTCCAATTTATCTAATCAACAAATCCAGCTCATCACGTGTTATGCTTCAATTGTTAATCACAAATGCAATGACGAAAATTTTGATGAACTACAAGAACTGATCAAAAGACCCATTTGGAAAGCATCTGAAAATGTTTCAATGTGCTGACGATACAGAAACAAAGCACAAAATTACCAGTAAATTGTGCCGAATGCGACGATACAGAAACAACCTCCAGCTATCCCACCAACGATATATATTGCAACAAGAAATTCGGTCATGAGCGATGTAACCTAGAATAAAATCNAATGAACATTACGATACATCAGCGTGAATTGATTCAGAACAACCGTCAACTTACTGTTCCATTGAGTGAAGATTTCATCACACAAAAATGGATACGAAATAAGTAAAATTGTTATCGAAGTAAGTATCAATGAATATGGTCAAAGATTATGATCAGTAGCACTTATTTTGAAAAAAATGGCTCAAGCTCCGGCTCAAGCTCTTATCATTCGAAATTTCATCCCCGTCTCTATATTTCCTAAAACGGTTGATATAGCTCCAGCTCTCAATGATCCGGAAATTTAGTCGACTTCTCGGCTCCGCAAAAAATCGTTGACATTTTTTCGACCCCAACTACGACTGTTGTTTCAACTCCAATATTCACTGTGCATAAAGATAAATAATGATAAAAGACGTATTAAGGCAAGCCTGGATGAGCTCACAACAAAAATATTGCAAAAATCAAAAACGTGCAAGGATATTGTCCAAAACTGTGCTCTTGTATAACAATCCTGATGATGTGATCGTTGATGCACATCGTACGCAGATTACATTAGCGATAGCATGGAGAGCTGAGAAATACTAATGGCAATGCTTTATAAGGGCTGTAGCAAAACTAAAGAGGGACCCTGCAAAACCAGGTACTCAATCGAATTGGGAAGCACGTAGAGATCGCTGCAGTCCTTGTAGTTATGAGCCGTAAACAAAATTCTGAAAGCGAGCTATGCGTCTTGTTTAGTTGATAACACTGCAGCTAGCGCAGTATGACAGGTTGCACTGATAATTTACACACTCATAAGCACTGATAATCAGCCCAGTACAATCACACACATTTTTGGCAGCGTTGAGTAGTCACTGACTAATAAGACAGACAGTACTAATTTTTAAAACTGTAACAGTTCTGGTGCTTTCAAGCATTTGCTTGTCTATTGATTCATTTTTGATAGTTTTATTTTTGGCAGCGCTGAATCATCAAAGGCACGCAGATGTTTGAACACTTTTTTTCGATGATTTTCATGTCAATGATTTCAATGATTTTCAATAATTTTCATTTTTCAATGGTTTTCACTGATCTTTCAATGAACTCTTTTCAGTAAATGTTTGAACACTTTTCCAGTGAACACACATCAATGATACACAGATGTTTGAAAGTACCAGGATTGTTCAGTTTTGTAAACTGAGGTTTGACTAACGCCATCTTCAGGTATCTTCAATCTGTAATCACATCGAGCGAAAATTCAGAATAATTTATTTTCCCTTTGCA